GGTTCTCAGTGGGCCTGGGAACTGTGGCAAGACGGCTCTGTGCGCCGCCCTGCTGGCGGAACACGGTGCTTACTATTTTTTGGACAAGCTGGATGTGGTCAAGCGATGTTTGTTTCAAAGCACGACATCTCTTTTGGTTGACGATGTATGCCTCCGATCTGCTTCGGTTGATGACGCCAAGTCCTGGCTGGACAACACCGTTTGCAGGTTTGCGTCCTGCCGACACGAGGATGGTATGTTGCCTCCGGGCATGCGGTGCTTCACGACCAACTGGGACAAGCGTGGGTTCCTGCCCGACGAAGCCCGGCATGAGGAACACTTGGTGGCGATTGAGCGGAGGATGTGGTTTGTTGAGGTCGGTTCTGATCTTCGTAAGAACAGTGCTTCTTTGACCAGTTCCTCTTCGGCGGTGCTGCCACTGCCAGCTTCCGATGAGATGTTGCAGGTGCGGCCATGTGTGGAACATGTTACGATTTAATTCCATGGAATTTTGCAGCAGAAACTTGAAACTTGAAATCGGCCTTTCAATGGAATTAGTCCATCTGTCAGGAGCCGGAAGATGAGGATGTCTTTGGCCATATGAGCCACGTTTTTTTTGCAAATGATTAGGTTTATACAAAAAGGGAACTGTTGAGAAGTCGCGGAGGCTGTTCTGCTTGGGGCGTAGGCGTCGTGTAAGCATTTTGCGTAGGTGGGTGTTGAAAGATTTGCGTAGGCAGTCTTGCGTAGGCACCCTTTTCATGAAAGCCTGAATTTTCTTATTCAGACTTCTTTAAAAGTTGTTCAAGGGTCTTGGGGAAAGATAAACAGGAACCTGATGTGACCCAGTCGCATCGGGCCACTACTTGCGGATTATATAGCTCTTTTCGAGTCACCTGATGTGACTAAAGTTGGTGACAGTACCCTGCGTAGGCATCCCGCGTAGGCATAGGCATTTGCTTGAGAGGGGAGCCCAGGCTTCCATTGAAAGGGCGGACGCAACTTTACGAATGTGTTTCTGTTTGTGGGTGTTAGCAAGCCAAACTGCTGTTCCTCCATGTTTTGACATGGTGTGTCGCTGTTCACGCACATAGTTACGCGCCTTACACCTGTTTTAGGCGCCTCTAAGATTTGCAGTTTGGTGTGCAAACGTGACCGTCTCCAACTCAGTGCCCACATTGGTCATTTTTGTTCAGAACATCCTGCGTGCGACCGTTTGGTCGTCCTGGAGAAGGTGAGCCACATTGTCCTTTCACGTGGCTATCTTGCCCTCTGACTTTTTTGACATTTGGTCACATAAACCGTGAATCAAACATATAGAGTATGAACATGTTAGTGTGCAAATATATGACCAAATATCTTTTGCGAACCGCGCCATCCTGAATTTGGAGACCCGCACTGGAACTTGACCTCGAATTCAGTGACCGCAGCCCAACTCGACCGCGGTATTTGGCGAACTGCGGCATCCAGAACACAGAGACCCAGGTTCGAAGTTGACCATGTCAAACTCAGTGACCACAGTCGAACCGGACCATTCCGCAATCAGCGGCTCACACCTTGACAGTTTTTGCGGCTATTTGGCGTTCGATTTTTGTTGCCAGTGATACACTTCTTGATTTGTGGATGGTACACTCTTGATTTGTGCAGCCGTGCGCTTCTCGATTTGTGCACAGGTACACTTCTCAATTTGCGCACAGGGACTCTTCTTGATTTGTGTTGGGTACAGTGCACAGGCACTCTTCGTGATTTGTGTTGGGTACACTCTTGATTTGTGCAGCGGTGCGCTTCTCTACAAGAATGCTACACCGCCCTGCCCATTCCCTTCCCCATTTCAATGTTGATGTGGGTGCCCACAGCGCAGCCGAGTAATTAGGTTAGGCCTCACAGTGAGAAGTGCATGCACGCCTGTCCACAGCTCTGTGTGTTCAAAACGGTTTCTTTGTGGGAACGCGCGCAGAGGCCGGACTGTAACGCCAAGCAATTGAAACGCGCGTGCCGTTTCCGTTTGTAATCAGGACATGCCTCCAAAGAGGAATCGCGTGGAGGCGGTCTAAGCTTTGTGTGGGGTGTCTTCTTGTTGCGCAAAATGTTGGTTCCTTGGTGAGGTCCTCGCGGAGGAGTTGAATGACTTGAAGCAACGACGGGCCGCGATGCGCGCGGCCAACCGTGCATTGGCAAAGCAGGAGAAGAATATGAAAAAACGACGTGCCCGCCTGATGCAGGCTTGGACATCTTCGAAATTTGAATACAGTTGCTGCTGTTTCGCACTAGGCTGCCCGGCAACTCAGCCGTGACGACCTGTTACTCCTGGTGCACCAAGCGGGAGCAGGAGGCCAGGTGCCCGATGGACGGCCCAGCATTCACTCATGGGGCATTTGCGTCCGGAGGTGGTGGAGCTGCAGTGGTCGCAGCTGGTGGTGGAGATGGCGCGGAAAGTCTTCTGTGTGAAAAGATCCCCGGAATTGTGGCTGTCTATGCGCGTGTCACTCTCGGAGGTGGTGGAGCTGCGGTGGTAGCAGCTGGTGGTGGAGATGGCGCGGAAAGTCTTTTGCGTGAAAAGATCCCCGGAATTGTGGCTGTTTATGCGCGTGTCACTTTCACAGGTCATGGTGCTCCCCCTCCAAATCTGCCAGCTGGCGCTGCAGCTGGCGTTGCAGGGGAAGGTCTAGACTGTTTGTTTGCTTTCTGCGTGTGTGGAGCTCTTGGCAGACCAGGTGCGAATGATGTGGAGGAGGCTGATGCCATTTCATCTGAGAGTGATCGCGGCGAAGGCGCGCGGGTGGATGTGGTTTTGAGTGTGTTGCTCATGGCCGAAGTTTGCTCTAAATCAGTTCTCATTGGAGGCGGTGCTGCTGATGGTGATGGTGAGGAAGACTAGGTATCCTCAGGGCAGCTGCTCAGTTTGGAGACACGCTCCTGCGATTTTTGAAGGCGATCAGAAAAGTATGATGGGGTTGCTGGGCCAGTGATCCAGAGGCAAAGTTACGGACTTGGTTTCGGGGCTTTTGCTGACGCAGGAAAACTGGACACTCTAGGTGGGGCCTCCTCAGTTTAGCAAGCTCTTGCTCACTGGGGAGCACTGCTGTGAGTAGCTTCTGTTCTTTTGAAAGCAAGAGTTCTCAACCAGTTTTGTTGCTGGCTTCAGTTGCTCAACAACAATCATCCAAGCGCATCAGTGCCAAACACACATGTGGGAAGGCTTTGGTTCCCACCCTGAAACGACTTACTGAGTCTTTCATGTTGGGCTGTGCAACGGGGTTCAGAAAAAAGAATGTGCTTCAAAAGACAAGGGATTCCACACGTGCAAGGGACGACATTTTCCCCCATGAAAGAGCCAATTGCAGCAGCTGATGTGGACCCGGCAAGACTTCTCGGAGTTGAACAAGCGCATTGACGCTGCTAGCAAGAAATACAAGAGGGCCAAAGCTGCGGCTGTGCCGCGGCCTGCTTCTGTGGTGTCTCGGTGCAGGCCTGACAATTTTGTTTGTGTAATGGTTTACATCTTGGCAGGGCGCTTGGCTGGAGTTGCAGCCGATTTTGTTCTGGGTCGTGGGTGGGGGCACAGGTGGCAGAGGAGAGGCCGGCGCAGGTTTGAGCAATGCAGCGACAGAAAACATTTGTTAGCAGACATTGAGGAGGCTTACGCGCGCGCGCCTGTGTCGGCTGTGGCTGCGTTGGCAAAAGACCCGTTCAGTCATTTTGAATTTGATGAATTGTTGTGTGCTCACAAGTACGTGATGGAACACCGGCTGGCGGCCTGGATTGCTGTCCAAAACGTAGAGCATTCTGTTGCGCCATCTCGGGAACAAGTGCTAGCGCAGATCCCAATGCACATTGCTGCGGAAGCCCCTCCGAAAATTCGAAAACGTTTGCGCAGCTTGGCCTTTGGCGCTCCAAGGAAGCAGCGGAAGTGGTTGGCCAGGTTTCGAAGGCGATGGGGCTGTAGCTTTGGTGTTCTACGACCGCAAGATTATGTACCAGTGGAGGAGCGAAGATCTAAGGCCGGTAGGGTTGG